CCTGCTTAGGCAAGCACAGGGATCAGAGTTTGATCCCTGGCACCATATGCCAAGAGGAACCAGCCTCAGGGCACATTGAGCCAGCCACCAAGCCTGGGTGTGGTAGTGCATGCCTGTAATCCCAGTGCTGGGGAGGCTGAGAACAAAAAGATCACTAGGAGTCCAAGCTGTGAAGTGAGACCCTGTATCAAATACATAAATTAAAAAAAAGTAAAATAAAATAAATAAATCGAAAAATGTGCTGTGTAAAATTAGTCTACTCTGAAGCCATCTTGGTTAACATTCCCAACAGAGTGAAGTTAGAATTTCTTCGGGGTGATGCCAGGTTCCATTTAAAATTTCTTTACAATTGCTTGAAGAAGTCATTGTCTTCAGAAACCTTTGTGTAGTTGAACTGACAGTTACTATTGTGTCCTCTGAATTTGACCATTGAAAAGGTCACCCAAGCAAACAGTCAGCTACTTGGTTATAAAAATGATTGTTGACACATTATATATATTTAAATTGAATAATGGCATCAGATACAATGATAGATGGGATTGAAGCTGTGTATCATCCGTTATCATGTGTAATCAATAAATGATTTAATTCTCCTGAATGGAAAAAATAAAACACCTCCACAGACTAGCTCCTAGGCATCTTTCAATCCAGTGAACATGACGATCAAGAGTAACTATCACACTTGAGATGGAAAAGGAAGTGCTTGTGGGGTCCTCAGGAATGTTTCTGCTGACAGTATCTGGTCCCATAGATCAGGCCTTATGTGGGAGAAATGTGTCAAACTGTTCTAGGCTGTGTATTCCCTTTTGGGGGCAGTTATTTGACCTAGAAGCACAGTCCTGCTTTCCAAGAGAGCCTGGAATTCAAGTGGCTAACTGTGGCTTCTCACCCGATGTTGGGCATTTCAGAAACTGTGCCTTGGCCCGCTGTCAACAGAAGTCCTCCCTCAGGTTGCAGGCAGTGGCAAACACAGCTGGTAAATTGTGACTGGGTGGTGGCCTGGGTCAAGGCCTGGCCTTGCTACTTCTCCCACAGGTTTAATTAGCTGGCTGCTTGCCAACAGTAAGCATTTCTGGGAGAAGTCTGAGCACAGCTGTGTGGGAGTGGTTTCTTCTATTGCCCCAAGACTTTTCAGGATACTGCTGGTCTTCGGCCTCAGATAATGACACCTAGAATAAAACTGAAAGGATTCTACTGATCTCAGGACAGATACCATTTGGCAAAGGGTGGTTATGAAATGATTTTCTTGCAGATGGGCCTTTAGATATTAGTATGGTTTGTGGGTTAGAATTTCTGTCTTTTTATTAAACACCATGGCAATAAAATTAATGTTTCTCTTCTCAGTTCATAGAGGTCATAATTTCAAGATTCTCCATTAGAATACATCTGGCTGGTAGTGGATTCACACAAATGCAGCCCAGGAATAACTCAGGGGTCAGCACTAGTGTGTGTGGGGAGTGTTGTTCACTAAACCCGACCATGGAGGCCTCTCTTGTTCCTGTCTTACTGGAGACATGGATAATTTGAGAAGAGCTAGGAGCCTCCATGAGTTCTTTACAGGTCTTCTGATTACCAAGTAGGTTTTGGACTGTGTTGCTAAGAAACTGAAAATTTGAATCAGAAAAACACGCAAATTGATCATCCCTAAGATTTGAGTGCAAAGAGTTACTCAGGGCATCCTAGTTGGGAGTGAGTTTAGGGGCTACACTATGTAATAAGGGTACAAACTGAGTAATTATGGGCAAATTTCCTCATCAGTATGAATATCAGTACGTTTATAAAAGAGGATACCCATCTCAGCTCTGTTAGGGTTTATATTTGATAGATTCATAGGAACATTTAACATCACGGAGCATGGATCATATGATTTAAGTTGTTTGAAACTCATTCCTTAGGAGTTCACATCAAGGCAGAGGACATGGGAAACAGTCATGATAGTATGTTATCATTTTGAGGCCTTAAGTCTTACTTTCTTGTCCTTTTTGATTCTCTGTACTGATCACTTCATCTTCCTGTCAGCCTGTGGCCTCATGTGTCAGCAAGTCAGGTTGCTCTTGGACTGAAGTTTTGTGACCAATTTAGATATTTGTCTCTTCTCATTCTACATTTGAACATCATGTGGGCAGGCCAGAGACACTGGGTGTGGTCCCTGCACTGTGGCAGACAAGAGGAATTTTCCTTAGGAACTGTTGATTGGCAGGTTCAGCAGTTGTGAGTGGAACTGACCCTGCTTCTGTAAGTGTGGACAATGGCCTTCTTCTGCCTTGGGTGGAAATAGAGAGAGGGGCTCCACTACCCTGAAGCCCCAGCTCTTCATTGCTGGCTATGAGTCCACCCCCACTTTCTGGACAGGCCACAGGACTTCCTGAGGGCTCTTTGCCCATTTCTCAGCTCTTGCCACAGTCCAGCCATCCCTGGAGGATCCTTACTAGGGTTCAGATTTCTCCTCTACCTTTTCCTCATGCAAATAGTGGAGTCTATATCACTGGTGGAGTGAAGGTAATCTAGAAATATTACCTTGCACTTGCTGGAGAATAAGTCCTGAGATTGCCTGATTTGTATGGGGAGAGTGCCCATCCATAGTTCATTGTGCCTGTGCTCCTCAGGCTTCTGCTTGTTCTGTAGCAGGGCCGAAGAATGTTCTCAGAAGTGAGCCTCTGTGACTCTCAGCACTAAAACCCTCACCTTCTTCCTCTGAGGGTCAACTGCCCTACAGAGATTTTGGTCATAAAACTTGATGCTGTCTTTAGCTTCCTTTTCTCCCCCCCCCCAAGTCCTTTTGATTTCTTGAGTTTGCTAACCCAGCCAGTGCACACATATCCCTGTCATTTGAGCATTCGGAGAAGATGATGGCCACCATTGGCAAAGTCTTGTACTATTTTCAGGTAGGAGGGTCATGGGAAGCATTTGTATCTTGAACATGTAATTGGGGACCTACTTTGGCCTTACTTCCTCTCTGTTCACTCAGGGATAATGAAGGTAAGAAATCACCTCAAAGTAGTTGTAGCTTGTTGTCTGGTCTTGGTAGCCACAGGTTTTCTTGAAAGTCTGCAGTATGAAATCAGCCATGCTAGGGAGATAACATTCTAGCTTCTGGAGGAGGACTATGTGTGGGAAAATAGCTAGAAATCAATGCCCAGTGATGAAACCAGGGCTCAGGACACAGCGTAGCAACAGGATAGGTTGGCCAGCTTTAGCCTTGCAGAGAAAGAATGACAAAGAAAAAGGGTGTTGTCTGGGACACCTAGGATCCTCTGAGGCACAGTGTCAGCTTCTTTGGGCCAGTAAGCATTTGAGCATTGTGGGAAGCTCTGGATTCTATCCCATTGCAATGCCCTGGATGTTTATGTGTTGCACATTATGGCAAGAGTTACCATTTTGCTTCACTTCTGTTTCATATGAAAGAACACTAAGGAGTTTAACACTAGTTCACTATAAATATATGGGAACTGAGGAAAGGCTGAAGTTCAGGTGTCAAACAGCAAAGCTGGCAGAAACCAGGTTGTATAGTCTCAGGTTCCAAACTCAGTTTGACAGAGAAAACTGGTCACACTTAACCTTCTTGGTGAAAGATTCAAACTTCTTCTTCCTTTTATTAGGATGGTGTGAACATGATCTTGATATGCAGACCAAGGCATTCCTGAAAGGCTTCTGCAATGCATTCTTGTGATAAGTGTGAGAACAAGGGACAACCCCTTTCCTGGCCAGAGGCGCTGAGGATGTCCGCTGCTTCAAGCATGTTTCTGAATTTTGAAGCCTGCGTTTGCCCAGGTCAGCAGTACTGGGGATAGGGATGAGGCAGGTCTGAGCCTGGCTGTCTGGTGCCTGCAGGGGGGCAAGGACCCAGAGCACAGGTTTTCTGTATGAAGGTTGTGCTTGCAAGCATGAGGACAAGGGTACCAAGAGGAGCATCGCTGGGACCCGCAGTGAAGGTATCCACCCCAACACCATAACAGGGGCCTGGCTAACCTGAAGCCTCCCTTCAAGGATGGTGACTCTGCCATATTTGTGAGCCTGGACTCTGCCATGGACTGCAAATTAGGCCTACTTGGGAGCGAGAATAGGTAATGGGTGAAAAGAAGGTTCATCTGCTCAGGAGCAGAGCATGGAGCTTCATGGGAATAGGCTGCAGTGGTTATGGGGGGCAGATGACATATTCTTTGCCTGCAAATCTGCAGAATCCCACTAGGCACTTGTATATTTTGATGGCATTACCAGCCCCTTTCAAAGGACCAGACTGTGGCCCCTGATCTGTTCAGAAGTGTAAGTCCTTAGAAGTGGAAATGCTCCCAATGTACCAGCACCCCAACTGAGAGGCCAAGACAGTGGGCACAGTGGCTCCATTTCCTGCCAAGTAAAAGGCTCTGCTCTCCAGGTGGTGCTCCTATAGGCCATCTTGATTATTTCTGAGCTGCAGCTCTTCACAACCTGGATGAACCTTGGTATCTGCTTTGTGAATCAATGGCAGGCCCAGGAGCTCTATTTGAACAGCTGATGGAGCTCTGGGCCATTTAAATGGGTATGTTGTGCCCTCCTGTCTATCTGCTGCCCCAGGGAGGCTGGGCAGAGTCTCCCAAAAATGGAACTATGTCCATGCAGGGAGAGGACACATAAGTGCTGCAGTTCTTGCAGAGATGAGCAGATCCCAGTTGCAAGTATCCCCCAGGGTCCCTGTCCTGTCATGAGGACAAGACGAGAAGACAGAGAAGACAGTGGGAAATGAAATCCTCTAGAACAATAAATGGAACTGCTTGATCCTTTGGGTGTCTCTCCTTCTTGGTGCAGGGCCAAACTATGAGGTATAGATCCTTTGCGGCTCTGCAATCAGTGGACTGCTAGAGAAGCCTGACCTACCAGTCCTCCCCAACCTCCATCACCCTGCATGTGTTATTCACTTCCAGGCAGTCTCTCCCAGACTCCCTGGGACTGACCAAGTCCCTAGGCCATAGAGGGCAGCAAGGCAAAAGCTGGCCCTGGGGAAAATAAAACCACATTGCCAATAGGAGGAGACAGAATTTATTTCGTCCATTGTACCCCTGATTTAAGGGTTTCCATCACTCAGGAGTTAACACAACTCCTGTGGCCTTGTAATCCACACTGGCTTTTGCCCCAGATCAGGAGAATCTTGAGAGGTTCAGCCAAGCTTCCACCTGTTCCTGTACTGTATCACCAGTGTTCACATTTTCAAACATTGTAAAATGCCTTAATTTATCTGTTCTTCCCATACTACCAGTGCTGAAGTGTCATCTGAACTTGCTTCTGTAGCGTCTCTCTCTGGCATCCAGAGAGGATGTCTGGGTACAGCCTGGAGCCAGTCCCTCAGTTCCCAGGGTACTCAAACACAGCAGCAGCTCCCATTCCAGTTGCCATGCACATGGATACCACGCCGTATGCCCTGTGGAAGTGAAACTGGTGGTTAGGCAGAGGCATGCCGGGCACAGGCCTCACCACAACCCCTTTGTACCATCTCAACCAAGGCCCTCTTGGAGACAGAGGAGGCAAACTAGCACACCAGATCTATGGGGGTTTGGGCCCCATCCACCTAGCTATATGCCCAGGCCAGCAGATTCTCTCTGCAGCCAGTGTTGCTTTTCAAGCAATCTTCCTCAGGGAAGACAAAAACCATACTCCTACAGTCCAACTCAGAGTGTCTGTGCATGAGTGTTCATCTCCCTAATCCTGACTTGCCCAGACACCTAGGTTTTGGCATCCTTAATGATATCCACAAATACCCCAGGACATGTGAGTTCACCTCTTTCCACGGCGCTTCAGCTCGTTGAGCAGTGTAATGACTTGTCGTGCTCCTGTGCAACCCAGGGGGTGGCCCAGAGCCACTGCGCCCCCTAGAGGGTTTAGTTTCTCAGGAGGGATGCCAAGCTTTTCCACACAGTAGACAGCCTAGAAGAAGCCAGAACAGCAGCTGCAGCCTCTGTCCAGCCTCCTGCACCACTTGCCCAGTTGCTCCCTCTGGGCTGGCAAGACCCAGGCAAGGGGAGAGACAAAAGCTCACCTGGCTTGCGAAGGCTTCATTGATCTCAAAGATGTCCACATCATTTACTGTCAGCCCTGCAGGCAAAATATGGATCTGAGCCAACAGTGGCCCCTGGGCAGGCTGTGTGTCTCCCTGGGCTCTGACCCATGCAACAATCCACAGGTGCCCAATTTGTCTGTCTCTTCAGAGGATTAAGAAGGACCCAGATGGGAGGTTAGGAAGAGCCAGGGAATGAGGTGCTAGCCTGCTGCATCTCTACTTAGTGACACCCATGGAGTCACCCCCAGTGTCTCCCCAAGTCCCATCTGCAAAGCAGGAGGGTGATTCAGGCCTAAAGAATGAAGGAGCCACCTTACCTGCTTTTTCCAGTGCTATAGGAATGGCATAGGCAGGTCCAATGCCCATGATGTCAGGTGGGACCCCAGCTACAGCATAAGACCTTAGGATCCCGAGGATGGGAAGGCCCAACTCTTCTGCCTTGGACCTCCGGGCCAGCAGGACAGCTGCTGCTCCATCACTCACCTGGCTAGAGTTTCCTAGGGGTGAATGTTGGGGGGTGAGGTGGCCTCAGGCTGGGGCATAGGAAAACCGCCCTCTGCTTTATTCCAGGCCTGTAGAGAAAAATACGCAGCCTGGCTACTGCCCAGTTCCAGGCTAGGCTCACCTGCCGTGGTGGAGCCGCCATCCTTGAAGGAAGGTTTCAGCTTGGACAGGCCTGCCATGGTGGTACTGGGGCGAATGCCCTCATCCTGTGACACTGTGATGATCTTCTTATTGCCCTTGTCATCTCGAATGGTGGTGGTGACAGGCACAATCTCGTCACGGAAACAGCCTCTGCTCTGGGCCCTTGCTGCCCTGCCAGCACCATGGACAGATGTATTGAGTCTCCCTTTGGAGTAACCTTTCTCCCTATTGCTATCTTTGCTCATTTGCACAGACATTAACCTCAGGCTTCAAACGGGGAAATCTGTTGTGCTGTGGGGGCTCTAGGATGTTCCTCATGACCCACACATGTACCCAGGAGGAGGAGGTATTTCTGTGGCTTTCTGTTCTGCCATTGTTCTCAGCCCCAAAGCTCCAAATCAGGAGCAATCCCATTCTCAAAGTAGAGAAGAGACTTGGGATGTAGTGTCTTCTCCCTCAGTGCCTCCACCCAAGAAAGATTAATGGTGTTTGGTTATCTCAGCTAAACTGAGGCTCAAGCTTCAAGAATGTATGCTGGGTTCTGATACCTTTCCTGTTTAATAATAACTGTATTTTAGAGGATCCTCAGTTTCCCCAAATTTAATGTGATCATTTTTGGATGCTTTTATGTATATAAACAGCTTTGAAACAGAAATTTTGTTAGGTGAGACTCATGATCAGATTCAAAATATAAGCACCCGTGGGCCTAAAAATAAGAAGGAATCCATAGCTGGCATCAAATGCTAACAGACTCACCTGGCCACAAGAAGCTAAGAATTCCTGCCTCAGAGGGGCCAATTGTGTGGAAGGTCACCCTATTCCTTTACTATTGGGTCTCTGGAAGGCTGCAGTGAGGGGAAGCTTAGTCCACTTCTGCCTGAAGGCCTGAGCACCTTAGTTTCTCTGATATGAGTACCAGCCCTAGTGAATCGAGGGCTTTCCTAGATCTAGACTTTCTCTAGAAGCTAGGATGGCAAATCTATCCTACTTCTGTCCTCCTCAGATTAAAAGCCTTCAACTTGTTTGGTGACTACTATATCTAGTCACCAGGCCACAACTAGTTAGAGAAGACTACTAAGCTACTAAGCAGGGAGGAAATTTAGGCTCACTGAGACGCTCAAAGAATGACATCAGTCAGAAGACCTGAAGAGCCTCTACCCACAATGGCCCCTTTCCACCTCTGGTTGGAAGCAGGAGACATGAGTCTTTTTTTTTTTTTTTTTTGTGGACCCGGGGATTGAACTCAGGCCCTTGCGCTGGCCAGGGAAGCGCTTATTCTACTGAACCATCTCCCCGGCCGAGGCATGAGTCTTGCAAAGCCCTTGTGGGAGCTGTATCCTAAGGACTGCTTCCCCACAGACCAGCTAGGTTGGCCTCACAACTTGGTTCTCCAACCTTTTGACATCCCACCCCAAGTAGCACTCACTTCTGCTGGGAGGCCAGAGCAAAGGCATCTTGCTTCTCCCGGGTAATACCAAATCGCTCAGCCACATTCTCTGAGGTTATCCTAGGATAAAAACAGCAGACCAGGTTGGCATGGGTCTCAGCCTATGAGCATGGTTTTGTTGTAGATCTATGCTTGTACTCCTGAAATTCAAGGGCCAGAGGGAAGGAGGCCAATTCAGTGACAGAGATAGCAGTGAAGACTCAGAAAACAGCATTTCCTAGAGGGTGGACATAGATGGGAAGTTGCCAATGCTGGCTGGATCCTTAGACACTCACAGTCCAAAGATATCCTTTCCAAGGAGGGCGGATTGCATGGAAACTGTCATGGAGAGCCCTTTGGTGGCCTGTTTCAGTATGGGGAGGAAGTACATGAGGGTTTGTTGAGTAACTTCCAATTGCTTCTAACAGCTTCTATATGACTTTTCAGGCTGCTCCTGGAGATCTGATTTGTGGTTCAAGGCTAGATATTGCCATCTACCAACTGAAATCTTCTCATTATTCATTGAGGCCAGGACACCCTGCCTAGAGTCTTGGTGGGTGAAGAGTTGGGCAGAGCTCAGGAACACTGGCTGCAGACCAAGATCTGGACAAATATAATGATACCTTAGTTGACAAACTTAATTTGTTCTTGATTATGGAAAAAATAGCCATGTTTGTGTTTGTGTGGGAAAGAGGGCTGTGGTTTTTGTTTTTTTTTGTCACCATAGGCAGAGTTTGCAAACAAAAACAAAATTTTTGCCAAGTATTGTTTGCAAATGGAAGCCTTTGTGAACTGAGGTACTACTGCATAATACAGCTCCCTTGCTGTATCTGAATGGCTCAGAGTCTCTCACCTACATATTCAGGAATTAAAAGTTCTCTACAGTCTTTCACATCCTAGGCAATGTGGGTCCAATGCCATAATCCTTCCTTTGAACTCTTCAGAAGGGGCAGGAAAGGTGGCCTATGTTTGGAAATGCAGAAGCTTATGGGCACCTGTTGGTCTCAGGAATGGGGAGGTCAAGGGAAATTTTGAGTGCCATGGCCCCAGTCCCTGCAGAGTCTACCACACCCAAACAAAGCAGGCCAAGGCTTTGCACTGCAAGTCACAGAGATGAGAACATTCTTAGACCCTGCTATGAGGCAAGTAGAAAGCTGCAGGGCATAGGCACACAGAGCTATGGATGGGCACTCACCCCATTGGGATCAGGCAGTCTCTGGCCTTGTCATTCTCCAGCATGCGTACAGTATAATTTCCTGGCCTTCCTCTCCCAGACAGGGACATGGACTCCACCCTGCAGATGAAAAGGAGGAGGGTCTCTGGACCTTAGTAGGAAATTGCAGCAACTGGGCAGTGGCAAGAGCTAGGAGATAGCCTAAGAACACTCAGAGAGTCCAGTGGGATGTCTTGGAGGCAGGAGAAGGCTCCTGTACAGCAAGGCAGGGTAGGAGTTGTAGGGTGGTTGAGCCCTGTCTTCATCCACCCAAGACAGGGTATGAGTTGCCCACATTCCAAGAGGCAAGGCCACACTTCCCTATACAACTGCTGAACCAGCCAACTTCTAGTTACCAAGGATAGTTTCTAGTGTCCAACAGAGTTCTGGGAATATAGCCAATGTTCCCCAGGGTTGTCTTCAGGATCCTCAAATGCAGTGTGGGAAGAGACTAATGTCTTTAAATTGAGCACAGAGCTGATACCTAAGACTGACTTGATCTACATAGACATGACTTTTGAGAGAGTGAGATGAAAATGAGGCGGTCAGTAGCTGTCATGGTCATTATGCATATCCACAACACACTAGAACGGTGTGTGATATCCTATCCTCAAACTGTTAGAAGTGCTGGTCATTTATTTGCCATTCCAGTATTTATCTTATGTTTCACTCTTAGTACTTCTTTGCTATTATGGAAACTTTTTCTTAGTTCAATTGTTTTGAAACATTTAATTTTTAGTCACTTAGAATTTAATTTTCTGAATATTGCCTAGTCTTAACTTTTGTTCTAAGATTTATACTATATCTTTGACTTACAATTTATTTAAAAGACATCGTATGATATTTTCTCCTAGTATTAGAAACTTTAAAAAGTAAAAAAAAAAAAAAAAGAAAGAAAGAAAATGAAGTGGCCAGTGCAGAGGTTGAAAAATGGCCTCAAAAATAATAGAGGAACTTGGCTGAGTGCTTTCCTGACCCAGCACCAGTATGAACTCTTTCAGGCACTGGAGTACTAAAAACATGACAAATTCGTGATAGAACTTCCATGATATTAGATGGGATTATGACTCCATTTAGTCCTCTTATGAACCATGATAGAGTTGAGCTTGGAATCCTACTTTATGATGAGGACACTGATATCCTTGGTGTGGAGGAAACTGCACATGGCCAATAGTGGCTGTTTAAGGAGCTTGGCCCCAGAACTCACTATGACTCAGGTTCCCTGTGTGACTTTGCATGCTGAAACCCTTCAAGATCAGCAGACTGTGATGTGCATGTCTTCCTGGCTCAGATCCTTAGTGATGGCGTCACCTGCTCACTAGCCTGCTTGGAATCCAAAGCTCCCTATGAAACTCACGAAGGCTTCCAGACCTTCTTTTCAAGTTACAAGCTGAGGTGCCGAACAAGATTGTCACAGGAGCAGGAAAGCTACCAAAGGGCAGTCTGGTCAGTGGCCCTAGACTCATGAGACTGCATGTTTGTAGACTTTGGCTGTCTTCCTACTGAGACATAGGTCAGGACAACCCAGCTGACTAGGGGCCAGCAGGTCTTCCTGTCAAGAACACTGGACGGAGGATACTTAAGGCAGCAGGAGCTTCTTGTAAGAACCCGGCTGCTTGTCTTCCATGGGTGCCACTCCTCCCTCAGTCTGCCTGCGCAGCACCACACACTTCTAGCCAGGGCTCTAGGGCTCTCCCCTTTCCCGGAGGGGCTGGAGAATGCTTCCTCTCTGGGTCATGCCCTGCAGGAAAAGATGGAGTTTCTGTCTAGGTGGAGGTGACAGTGACCGCATAACCACAGATCTCCCTCTGCATGTCAGAACCTGGCAGATGGCAGGATGTTTCCAGCTGGGTATGATGCTGAGAACAAGAGGACAGACAGCCTAGTAAATAGTAATGAGTTGTCACTGCCTGTAAGGAGCCCAAATGGGCTGTTGACTTTTAGCGACTTCATTACTCAAAAGGTCACATGAGAAAAGTTGTATGCTATGTGTTCCCACATGTCCCACACTGAGAGGTTTCCATGAAAAAGAGGTATTCTTTTCATGGAAGAGAACAATTCTCCACCCTCATAAGTGCTGGGACAGGAGCCATTCTTGAGCAGCCAGATGTGGGGCAACTTTTAGGCTGCATTTGAAGGAATCCACTCTCAGCCAGATGCCTAGAGAGCTAAAGGAGTTTCCTTCAGTCATGGTCCTTGTGAACTTAGGGGAGGAATATTACTTTGAGCATCACAGTTTGTTAGCAAGCTCCAGAAAACAGAAAATCTTACCCACAGGCCATGCCAATGTCATAAGACCCATTTCTTATGCCACCTGCAACAGAAGCATTTCATAATCATCCTTTGTGTGTCTTGGTGAGCAGCAGAGCCCCTTACCCTCTTGCTTTCTATTGTCATAGCTCAGCTTCAGAAGACCCAGAAGTATCTTCAAAAGCCTTGAAGCTCTTGCACTCCTTGTGTGCTCAAGAGCCCTTACAACAGGCTTACTGCTGGCTCGGGGGCCATTGGTGTTACCCATGCCCATAGGGGAAGTAGCAGGGGCAGGATTGGGCCAAGTACACAACTCAGTCACAACTTACCAGCTATATTGGCCACTGCCTGCAGCCCAGATGAGCACTGCCTATTGACAGTGGACAAAGGCACAGTCTCTGGAATGCCACTGCAAGAGAATTTGGAGATTCAAGTTAGCCCTCTGCCCTGCCAAAATTTTATAGAAAGCAGGTCTGCAGTCCAGTGACACATGACTGTCCCCATACTGGAAGGTGCACACCATGGGGAGGACCTGCCAGCTCTGCCTGTGTGAGATCTAAGAGACCAGGGAAGGGGCTTCCAGGCAGACCCCATCTCTGCAGGCACTCACTCCAGAGGCTCCACAAACACATGCCTTCCCATCTTGTGATTTCCCTGAAGCCAAGGCAAGGGAGGCCTATATGGGGCATCAGGATCCTTCCTTCTCTCCTCTCTCCCTTTGAAGATTCAATTATGAAAAACACAAATAGGTTTTCTCCAGAGTTAGAGAAGTAGGCTTGTTGCTGGGATAGAGCTCTAGCACAGAAGGCATTATGTCAAGTATTAGGCCTGCAGAATTCTCACTCAAGTCTTACAATCACCCCATGGCTGTGTCTTCATGTTTCCTCTGGGATAAAAATCTCTGTTGGGCACCACCATTCGAATACCTCTTGCTCTAGGGCTTTCCAGGCTCTCACACTGGGCCCATGCCTGGAACCTAGAGGGGTCCCCTTCTCAGGCCAGGTAATCTGCCTCTGCTGACAGTACAAAGGCCTGGGGACATTTTCAGACCCTCTTCATCCCACTTGGAATGAATGTACTCTGGTGGTTCCAGTGTGCAGCCAGGTTTGTAAACCTCTGAGCTAAGGACAGAGCCAGAATATTCAGGGACTTCTGCAGGTAGATGGCTTCCTAGACCCTTTGAACTCCTCCTGGCTACCTTCATTTTATAAATTAAAAAATCTGTCTGTCTCTGTCTCTGTCTGTCTCT